GAGGCTGGTGGACCTCTGTGAGATTGAGGCCAGCCTGGTGCACATAGAGTTTTCCAGGCCAGCTGGAGCTACAGGAAGACCTTGTCTCAAAAATAAATAAAATAAAATAAAAGTCCTTATAATTAGCATATCTCATTGGGTTTTATAATGATTAAATTAATTAACACATGACCTTCTCAGAACAGGTGGAATCAAATGAAGCTACTAATGTTGGTCATTACCTGGTTTCCCCTCCAGACCCGGTAGCCCTCACTCTCCTGCTCTGTTCAGAAAGACTTAAAGCCTGCATTAATTGGGCTCTGTTGCCTTCTGACTTATGGTTGTATTTGTAAATGGAGAAAAGTGGAAAGATCTGGAAAAGTAACAGGAGTGAGACTGGAGTGTTCTCTGTTTCTTCCTGTCTGGCTGTGGTTTGGGTAATGATTCACTTTTTCTGCTATCTTACTGTGCTGGAGTTCACAGCTCCCAGGAGAGCATCCTCTCCTCTGGCTCCTGCTGCTGAATTTGGAAGGTGCTGTTCCCTCTGCAGATCCCTTCAGACTCCATGAAACCAAACTCTTTCCTGTGCAACCAGGTGCTGGTGCTGCAATATCCTTTGTTGATTCCTTTAACTGTAACCACATTATTGTTGCTTAATTATTATTTCATTCTCTTCAATGAACTGAGTATCTAGCTTATTGCCTCCAGGGTCACATATACTATAGTCCTGAATTATTTGATTTCAATTATTTCTACCAGGACAATAAAATATCATTATAATGATAAAAATGGGGTTTCAAAACTGAGGTAAAGACAGTCAATTTCATAACCTGTCTGGAACTGATAGTATAAATAGTCTAAAAAATAAAAAGGGGTGGGTAGAGCTGAAACTGGTTTTCTCTTGTCAAACCATAAAAGTCATATCTCTTCCTCAGGGGTCTTACACATGGGACTTTCTTTTTTTTGGGAAAGTGTTGGAGATAAGCTCTTGCAATAAGAGAAGAGAGTAGTCTTTACATAGCCAAGTCGAGTCCAGTTGTAGATTAAAGTCCTAGTTCTGTGGTAGCTGTGTAATTCATCAAGAGTTTGGAGTAACTGGGTGGACTGAGGGGGAGTGTGATTCTCAGTTTGGATAGAGGAAGCTTTCAAGGCCTCATAAAGTCAGGCCTAGAAATATGCATATAGGAAATAAATAAGGACAGCGCCAGATTCCATTTCCATAAATGAATGGGGAAGCATGTGAAATTATTATACACTGTGGCTGTAAACTGTGGGGGTGTTATAACAACCTTTCATTCAATTGGGCACCCAGCTGATAAGTTCATTTCAGATGACAGGGAAGGCAAACTGTCCTTCCCTCTACTCACTGTCCTCATTCAGGATCTGTGCAGGGCTGAACTTGCAGGAAACAGACAATTGTGCCTTGTGAAGGTGAACCTAGGGTAAGTGGCATTAACACCACAGGAAGCACTAACATTTCATGAACAAAATAGCAATCGTTTTATTCAGCCTGGAAATGAATTTAAAATAATTGGCTCTATGAAGCTTTCCCAATAAAACTAACTTTCATCTTACTCAGAGTTAAACATTTCCAATTCTCAAGTCAAATAGCATCCCATAGGCACCCCAATCTTACTCTTACCACAGCAGGAGTGGAGAGTGTAATGCAACCTGTAGGGGAAGGAGTTAAACAGTTTGGAGCTAAGATTTTCAAGATTTCAATTTCAAGGCCACTCTTCCATCTTATACAATATTTCAACTTGTAGATGATTTGGACTACTCTTTCATATTTGGGGGATTAGAGTAGGTCATATTTATTGTGAGTACTGTGATTATTGAATAAGATAACTTATGTAATGGACTTAATAGAGTGTCTGGCATATAGTAAATAACAAATCTTAGCTGTTTCATCTTATATGTGTCTATGAAATTTTATACATACCCAAGATTAGGATCTATTTGTTCTATGTCCATTAGCATGTCTATCCTATACCAAGCACTAAATAATTATTGCTTAACAACTGAATAAGGTTAACTGACCTTAAAATTTTGTTCTCCTTTCTAAAAGAAAACCAAAACTTATACATTGTCTTTTATGGAGCTTTTCACAAGATTTTCCACTAGAAAACAATTATTAATTTCTGTACTTCAAATGTCAATTTTTAAACTATTAGCATACATGTCTAACTCAGGTACATACAGAAGCACATTTAAGATGTCAAACATTCATAAAATAATGGTCAAAAGTGAGACCCTTATTAAAACACAACTAGGAATAAATTATAAATACCCCAAAGAGGGAATAGACTACTTGTTTTCTTTTGTACAGACTATTCAGATAATTTTAAGGCAATTAAATTATGTTTAGGAGTGCTTGATTCATATTAAACAATGCATGGGGAGCTGCTGGTGTCCAACTGTAATGAATACCCAGTTTCATCAGCGTATCAAATAGACTAATTCTGCAATTCACTTTGCCTATGAGATCCTTTTCTTTTTAAGAAGATTTATTTGATATTTTAAAATTATTTGTATGTGTGTGGATCTGTGTGTGGGCATGTACACATTAGTGCAGGTACCCCTGGAGGTCAGAGGCTTCTGATCCCCTGGAGCTGGAGTTACAGGCTGATGTGAGCCACCTGACATGGGTGCTGGGAATTGAACTCAGGGCAACTACAAGAACAGTGTGCTCTCTTAAGTTCTGAATCATCTCTCCAGCCTGAGATCTTTTTTGAGTATATGTATATACTTTAAGAAGCTTCTATAATGGTACGTGTGGCTTTTCCTAAAGGCCTTTGGTGTTACTTACCCCTCCCCACACACTCTCTTTTGTCCTGTCCTCCCATTCCCCACCCTTCCTACTCTAATGTCCCCCTTCATATCATTACATTCTACCAGGGGTCCCATAAGTCCTCAAATAATACTGGCCATTGCCCTGTGCTTGCTTACCCACTAGAACTATGTGCATGAGCTGTAGAACAAACAAGGAGAAATTAAGCTGATGCTGACTTCAGAGGCTCATCTCTACTGGTTAGTGTTCATAGTGCTGGAAGGTGCTATGCATGCTACCTGAAGGAAAAAAATAATCATCGACCTTCCCAGCTGTGAATCCTGTAAACTTAAGCAAAAATGCCCTTGAAGGATATGTCCACCAATTAAATAGTGGTATGAGTATTGTGGGTGTAACCAGTCATTCTTTAATTAGGTTTAATGTCCACTTCATAGGATGGAGCACATACTTGACACTAACATCAGGCTTAGAACCTGAGGCTAAATAGGTCACAGGACATAGAGGAGAACATAATACTAGTTTTCTACTAAATAGTTACTGTATTAATTTGACTCCTAATGACTTACTCTTATCCACATAGAGTAATGCGTCTCTCAACTCTCACCAGAGACGTTTCCTTATGTAACAGATGGTAATTATTGCAGAGACCCACAGCTGGCCAATGTGCAGAGAACAAGAGGCTTCAGAGTGCTTATCCCTGAATAGGACACCTATATAAAACTTCAGCCTCCTAAGGCTCAGGTATCATTGCAGAAGAAGGGGAGGAAAGTCTTTAAGAGCCAGAAGTGGTGGATGACTACAAGGAAACAGAAGTTTCCAGACAGCTGGTAAGTTACTCATATGATCTCACAGCAGTGGTGACAGCATGCACAAGTCCCATGCAAGCCCAAACCAGACAGATTCCAGCAAAGATATGATGAATTGGATAAGAAAACTCCAAGTCTATATATAACTGCCCGAGGGTATCATTGATAGATATTTTAAAATATCCTTCAGTAAAATACTTAAAACACCTCAACAATACACACTAAAGATCAGTCTTTAAAAATGAACATCTTAAATGTTAACTTTTATAGTTCTAAAACTGATGTAAAAACTCTAGTTCTGTTCTAGCACATCTTCAGAAAATATAAATTTGAAAAAGCAAAAAAAAAAAAAAAAAAAAAAAGAAAAAGAAAGAAAGAAACTCCAAGTCAACCTAAGGAAACTGTGGCAATCACTGCTGGGAGGGGCAGAGACAGTCTTTCCAAAAAAGGGGCTCTTGGTAGGTTAACCAGGCTCCAGTGGTTGGACCCACATTGAAGACTCTATAGGCCTTATAATAATAGAACACATTAAATTAATAAAAGGGGACAATAAGGGAGTGTGGATAGGGGAGGAGATCTAAATGCTATGAAATTATATTGTATCAAAATCACAAACCTCAATAAAAATAAAATAAGTCATGGCCTTAGGTATTGAAGCACACTGTGTAGTAACACAGGGTTAAAACTTTTAGACTAGTGGGGAAGAGTGCATATCTGTATGTGTTATGGCTATTCAAACACTAGCCACCTATGTATTGTGCTGCTTAAGAATATTTGCATTATATATTAAAGGAGAACATAAAAATGTCTGGAATGATAGTTGTTGCCTTTACTGATTTTCTAACAAATGAGCGAATTGCAACAGATTTCCCCACATGTAATCCTCGTCACAGAATCACTATATGGTGAGATCCACAGGCAGTCATGCATATTTACTTCATTGGTCAGCCATCAATCAGTAAGCAACATTGAGCTTGGAATACAGTTGATGCTCAGTAAGCATTTTTTTAAACCAGTGATGACCTTTCCTTTGAAGTAGGTCATTATTATAAATATACTGTTTATTAATACGGTACCTTTGTGTGTCACATTTATTTTTATTTGTGCCTACTATAATTCCAGTGAGGGACATGTGGGAGGGATTCCCCTTCTTATAATGTAAAGAAAACTGCAGGAAATCAGACCTAAACTATCTAAAGAAGTTTCTAACAAAAACATTGTAACGGAAAGAAAAGCCTACAGATATTCGATTCTGATTCACATAAACTGGAGGCAGGAAAATGTGACCATTGAAGCTTTCTCAGAAATCACAGTCAGGTTTTATTTAAAAAGCTCTTTTTAGCTTTTGGCTTTAATTAATAAAAAGAAATGAAAGATAAAGGAGACTCTAATGGCCCAAACCCCAAGGCTGAGATAACACTTACCAGGACAGTCACCACACGTAGAACCACACCCCGCATGTTATTCTCCAGCTTCTTGTCAGTCAGTGACCCGTTCAGACCTGTGACAGGATTCCAACAGCCAAGCTGAAAGGGAAAGTTGCTCTGGTGATTTTTCTGCTTTGAAGAACAGGTCAGTCACCTCTTTGTAGACAACACAGAAACAGCACAGTGCACGGGATAACTGGCATAGAAAAGTTTTCATTTTTAATAGCTAATGAAGCTATCAGAAATGTCATTTCCTGTCTTTAAATGTCATTATACAGCGTAAGGCAGATACAGCGTGCTTTTCGAGGCTCACCGAGGACATCTGACTTAACGAGGAGGAGTTACCTATACACCAATAACTCAGTCACCACAATGTGTTAATTGGAAAAATAATAATGCGTAGAAATCTAGCAGAATTTCTACTTTAACATATCAGTTACGGCACAAGTTAAAAAATTTTATAGCTTTAATGATCTAATTCAATTAAACATTACTTTTATTGGAAAAAAAACTTAAAAATACTGAAAATATTTTATAAGGATAGAAAATCAACAGCCTTATGTGTGGAAAGTCATGGATGAGGATTTATGTGTTTTTAAAACTATTCACAGTACCCAAAACAAAATAATTTCACTTTTCTGGCGGTACCAATTTGCATGGAATATTTTGGCAGCGTTCTTTCCGTGAAAACCACGTGAGGGCTCATTATTCTTTACTGTTCAAAGTACTCGTTTAATTTTATGCCCTCATCTAGTTCTTGCCTCTTGTAATACATAAATCTGAGGGCTACTTGTTTTTAAAGTACTGCCTTCAAATGTCAGGAAGATCAAAGCTGATGAGTCTCAATCATTAACAAGGAAGAAAGAAAGGCACGTGAGGCCCCGGTTAGCAGACAGGCAGCCAAGAGACAATGCCCTGTGCCTACTGGAAGCGATTTCCAGCGCTGGACTCCAGGCCAGCCTCGCAAGCCTTCACACCGGAACCTTTTCTCTGTTTCTACATTGTAGAAATGCAACCCAACTTCAGTTATATCTGTAGTCAATTTCAATTAACTGAATGATTATAGGGGCCACTGGTTCCTTGTGTGGTTTCCTCCTGATGACTCTGATTTATTTCCTTGTACCGAGTTTTGTACGTGGCTTCCAAAGTCATCAAGACACTGGCAAGAGTCCCTCAAAAATAAATGATGTAGGTGCTTCTTATTAAAACTCAAGTGTCTCTTTGAGTTCCCAGAAGGTGTTTAATTAAGAAAACGGAAATGTACACAATATATCGTGAGGGAAGGGGATGTCACAATATAATCAGCAAAGCCAGGGTTTTCGTTACTAAAATAATTTGGAAAAGGCTGATAATTGTTGGTTTCAACTGTAAAAGCACATTAAATTCATACCACGATATGTCATTCTTAGTTACATAAAAAGTCTAATTAGAACTTGGATCCAATTAGCAAGTCCAAATGTGTTGAGAAGTCTAATTATCAGAGCTAGTGTAGTCCTCTGCCAAGTTTAAAACCTTATGGAAATCCTTTGAGCTTTTGTTCTTTGCTGAGGTCTCCCAGAGTCTATCTTCATGGCATTCCTTGGCATGCACTTTGTCTAATCACTTCAAGAGGATTTTATTTTCCTAGAACAAATATTCATGGGGAAATGACAATGACAACGTTAGTGAAATCCTAAGTCTCTACTTCTCACCAGTCGAGCAAAGATTTCCAAATGGCATTGGAGGACAGTATCCCTTTCATGAGAATATAGCCAAGCAGCCTAGGCAAACACACACATTTGTTTTTGCCTCTTGTGGTGTTTTCTGTTGTTCTTGTGTTTGATTTTTTTAAGTTTGGTTCAACCACAGTCACTTTGCCTAGAGAGCTGACATCTATTACTGCCAACTTGACCTTGTCATTCTGGCCGGGGGTTGATGCTTGAGGCTGCACTAACAGACTTTAAAAACTCAAGTTCCAAGCTTCGCTAAGTCATGACCTCCTTTAAATATAACTAAATACAGTCAACAATTTAGAAATTCGAATGGCCTCTCTTATTTATAAGTTTGAAAAGAGCATTTGGAGTAAGTAAATATATATGCCAGTCTCAGAACTCCACAGTGGCTTGAACAGTATTTCTGCTCTATGGGGTCTCCTCTCATTTTGTTCTTTAACTTTCTTATTATGTAAGACCACCCCACAAATATATGCATTTATTCATATATAATATTGCAAGACAACAGTTATTTCTTGTCTGACCATTTTTCCACTTTCTGTGCTGTTGTTTTCTGTCATCTTACATGTATCTTGACAATAATCCTTACAATGTTGTTCCCATCCCTTAACTGTAGGTTGGATTTTAAAATTAGTGAATTCTTCCTATTAAAAAAAATACTTATTTTCTATACTGAATGCATTCAGGAAGCATTTTTCAATACTTTTATATGTCAGCCAGAGTGTCGATCTCTTTATGTGGGATTTTATTTAAGCATCACAACTTTTTGAGATGGTGCTGTTACTGTTAGTATTTGAAATCGAACCAAGGTTTCATGGGTATCTACTAAAAGATGAAACTAGGATTTCAATGAATTCTGCTTAAAGTCCAATTTCAGGATTTTTAAATGAATTTTTGTTTTATGCCTTATGAATCCTTTTCATAGACACGATCCAATTAAAATGGCAGGGAAGATATTTTTGTTTCTATGTTAAGGAAATTGAGGTTGAGAATTGTGAAGTGGTTTGCTCAACAGATTTTTCAAAAAAAATTATGATCATAATTTTATAACAATTATTTAAACATACATGCTGTACAATGGGTCAACCAAAAAGATTTTCCTTGCATTAATTCATTTACTTCTCAAATTCCTTTAAGGGAGGTACTGTTCTTATCCTGTTTTACAGAATGGAATCTGGGACAGATGGTAGCTGCTCTGTTTTCTTCTCTCTCCTCCATATTAAGCACTCAAGAGGGTACTGAATACACAAGAACAGTAGAGAAATGAAGTGACTCTAGGCAATCAGAGATATTAGAACTTTGTGCTTTAAAAGATCAACTTATTTAAAATAAATGTTAAACATTTTTCATTTACTCTCAAACTAAAGACTTGTCCCAAATTGTGCAAGATGGATGAGGACATAAACAGCAGCAAAACATAGAAGAATGTTGATTCTTCATAGCAGTCTAAAGAATTTCCCAAGTTTGAAGATCTCTCAATTTTGATTCATGTCACCGGTCAATGACCACAATTCAAGCCTGAAAGGGCTTGGGGGCCCAGAGGTATAGGTGCAGAAGAAATCAGGACGCAGGGGATGCAGAGGCATGTGAACCAATGCATCCTTTATTCTAAGAATCATCCTCATTTATAGTACAACAAGAGGAAAAGAAAATCCTTGAGGATGGTGGTAAAGTTTGTCACATAGTCTTGGATCTTCAGCTGTTACTTTTATATTACTTTTGTGTTTATTGTTTATTTGCAGTACCTTCGTGCTCCCAGGGCTCAGCCCTTTTTGGAATCATATCTGCCCTTCCATGCCTATTAAACATTCTGTTCTTTACCTATAACTTTATTAGCTACACAGCTTTGTTATACAAGCTTCCTTATGTATGTTGTGTACGTTTAATAGGGTTCAAGGAACTGTCAGTGTCATGATAAAAATCACAACAGAAGAACATCCAAGTTCTCAGGGAACTGAAGTTTCCCGGTCCAGGTCTGAGTTTATTTCAGGTCAGAACTTATTCTGCATTTACTTCAGATCAGAGCTCGGGTCTTCACAGATTCATACCAACTCATCTTGCCAATGTTCACTTCAAGATATTCTGCTTGATTATAATAATTCCTTTTTTTCAATAATAAGCAATCGAAATGAGTTAGGTTCACATAGATTTAAACTGAATGAGTATCCACAAAAAGTATTATTTCTTGCAGCAGAGTAACACTGGCAGGCTGAGTGTTGGAGAAACTGCAGGAATCCCACCCAAGATGAAGGTTTTTTTTAGCAACCTTTCTGGATTCATTGCTTGAAATCAAGTTAGCTTGACATCTTGGCCGTTTGGGGGAGGTTAGTTTATCTGATTGTGTTTTTGCTTTCGTTCCTGTTTTTTAAGACATGAGACTGGAGACATGATGAAAATACATATGCAGTCTCATACTCTTCTATAAAAACAAAAAAAGACTTCTTTTTTATCTTTATGTATATGTGTGTACCTATGGATGCCAGAAGAGGGCACAAATCCACAGATCCTGGAGCTACAGGTGGTTGTAAACTACTTATGTGGGTTCTGCAACTGAACCAGTGTCCTTGAGCCATCTCTCTAGGACCATAGTATCAAATTCTTCTCAGCCAAGTGTATTCTAAATAAACATAGTAGAAGTGGCCCCTACGGCAGATGAGATATGCAGAAACTCTCACTGTTAGTGGTGAAACAAGATTCACTATCTAGAGACTGGGGAGATGCTTCAGTGAGTAAGATGCTTCATGCATAAGCATGATGACCTGAGTTCAAATCCACAGCACTGTGCCACAGCCAGGCACAAACCTGTAACCCTGGTACCGGCCAACCAGTGTAGTTTAAACAGTGAACTCCAGGTCCAGTGAAAAGATGCTGTCTCAAAAAATAATGTGAAGAGAAATAGAAGGAGGCCCTCAACTTCAGTCTCTGGCCTCTATGAGTATGTATATACATGTGCACCTGCCCATATCTCACACACACACACACACACGTACACACACACACTTCACTGTCTTATGTGGTTTGGAAGTCTAGAGAATATTTAGAAGACCTAAAAAAAGTAAGGCCCAATTCTACATCTTCTCAATTACCAGTATATAGATTTCCTTTATTATTTTGGTTATTGCCTAAAGTCAATTTAAAATCTTTAAAATGCTTAGTACTCTAATTATTTCCTTCATTGGAGCTTTCACAATAACTATGTAACATTCTGGTAAATCAATGGAATAGCTGTGTTCAACAAACTGGTTGATGTATTTGCATGAGCACAGTGGCATGCTCCTAACATCATGCATACTAATGATCACGTTTTACACAGTCTCTCTTTTCTCCTCAGCGTTTTCGCTTTTCATCAACCATGGGCTATAAGGGATGACTTCTGACTCCGGAGTT